AGCTACTGCAATACAACTACTCATTTCAACTAATCAGTAGTATATAGCTTTAGGCAACTATTTTTGCCTTCCTGACTACCATTTATGGTAATACATACATTCATCTAAATGGCATCACTTTGCGATCCATTAATGGCTCTTATCCGGGTTCTTAGCCTTCCCTGAAATAGGGTCCACAAAAAATTCATCAGAATGGTTGACTCTGTGGTGAATGTATCCAAGAGATGACAAGGAGTTATAACCTTTCCACTGATCTGTGTGCATTATAAATCCTTGTTTCACCAGTCGAGTAATATTAGGTATTAAAGTACTTGATTTTCTATCGGCTATCCTCTCGACGAGTCCCTTCCGTAGAGAGGCGTATCATATAAACTAATCATCCAAACATTATTCTCTAGTTCTCGACCACGGTTGTATTTTTTCTGTAATAAGACAGTTTCATCTAGATGTACGACCACAACCCCACCCCTGATAAAGAAGTAAGCCTCTCCACTTTCTAGGATTCGATATCCCTGCAGTGCTAGTACCACTGAACTGTTGATACGAGACTATTTTCAGTTTCAGCGGCTGCATCTCTCACTGGCTGTTTTCAAACCCAGTAAGTAATTACAAACATACAAAATCTGGGTTAAAGAAAGATGGGATATGGCAAAAAATGTTCCTACGAAGTATTAGAATCACCCTTGACACTAACTCGTCTCAAATAAATTGCACAACGATGCACATATCCATCAACAGACCTGCTGAAGCTTTTTATAGTCATCACGCCTCCACAGGAACAAATCCTTTCCTTCCTAATCAACCCACATCTAAGCGATACTGGAAGACTTGGTCCTCACCAAATTGCAAAGGCAACTGCGTTAGAGCAGGTATTTGATTCGAATCAAGAGGAATTGAAGCTTCAACTCACGTGAATAAAACTCATTCGACCATTCATGGTCAATAGTGCGGACACACTCCATTGGTAGTTAGCGGTGCTTAAAGTTTAACTCGGTCAAATCCAGATTTAAGGAATAAACACTTCTACCTCTGCAGCCGTGTTGTTCTCAGTTTTGGCTGCTTCCTCTCCATAACCGTCATTAACAATACTGTCTTTTTAAATAATATCGAATTGTTCAGATCAATGGAGTAACAGTTCTAGGAAAATGCATAAGTTTATAACAAGCATAAACATGTAATACTAAACAGAATATCAGATAAAGTTAAGAAAATTTATAATAACAAATTAAGGATAACTAAAGCATAGATGACCAGGGTAGTGAGGAGAGCGTCTGAACCAATTACTTTTGAATATTGCAAGTTAGGCTTCTTAATTTGGATTCTGACAGCCTCAGCACTATGTAACAGACGAACTCTTGTGGTTAAATTAAGATTCGCAAGAGTTTAGTTTGTAGGGATTAGATTTGTTAATACGAATTTGACCACGGATTGATATCAGTTAGAGAACCATTGAAAACCAACAGGGAGTACTGGACAACTACTTCGACCTAGTTTGGAACTCCACGACAGTACCCACCCGCCACCACGGTTCGAATCCAGGACATCCCGATTACAAGTCAAACTCGCGGTCCATTCAGCCATTGGGACCCAACTGAATGGCCGATGAACTCTAATTCCTACCAGTTCGTGTTATTTGGCGCGATCACCAACCAATGTCGTCGGGGAGTATTTACCCTGACTCCCGACCAGGTGGACCCCACTGGTCACGATTTCTCACTAGAGCTTTCCATGTAACCGGATGGTCCTGGGTTCGGTCCCCAGTGGGTGCATACCGCCGATGATCCCCAAACTATAGTGAAACAGCTGGCCGTCCAGTACTCCCTGCTGGTTTTCAATGTTTCTCTAACTGATATCATTCCGTGGTCAAACTCGTATAAATAAATAAAGATTAGTCAGGATACGGTGGATAACTTTGAAAGCCGCCTTGTTAACATCTATTTTGTGCTCTATATCGACCAGATAAAATAGAATCGAAGTATGAATAGACTTTGTTTACCTCTTGCTGAATCACTATGCAGAATAGTGTTGGGAAATCCGACGATAAACACCCTCCCCCTCTAGACAATAAAGCTACTGATGATAGCAAGCCTTATAAAGTGATCTACCCTCTTTCGTGCGTTAGTGGCACAGCGGTAGAATGTTCGCCAGCCATGCAGGTCGTTCAGGGTTCGATCCCCTGCCGCCGCACTCTTTTACCTCACTAAGCCATTAATAAGACCGGTAAAGAGGGAAGGTTGGGCGGTCAGGTTAGCAACCTCACCCTGTAATAACAAAACCACTGCTACTGAAACTTTGAAGCTCTATGTTCCCCTGGGAACGTAAAGGAATGAAAAAAATATCCTCTTTACTATGTTGAGTTACGATTGCCAAAACAGGTGCCTAAATCAACAGATATTATTGTGTGCTTTTTTTTATAGCCTAAACATCATCGTAAAAGTCTCTTTCTACCTACACTAACTAATTAACTGATCGGCTTACTGTCTAAGTGAAATCAGGTCAGCTGCCTAGACTGTGTGTTCTTATTTTGCTCACTTAAGAACATAATTGAAGTTGTTTTCAAACATTTTTTTTTTCAATACATCGTTTCAGACTAGTGAATTCACCTATTGTTATTATTATTATTTTTTTCAGCCACATTTGTTTTCTTGCTGGTTTTTACAGTCTGTCTAAATTATCCGTCTTCTTGGGGGCTTCTTGACTCAGTGATGTGTAATGTGATATTCAGAATTCCTTTTCTGCTTGTTAATCTCTCTTATATGTCTTCTCTAATGTGTGTCCCCTTGATAATAAGTATGTACACGTTCAAATTTGTTAATTATTTGATTCAGTCAATCTGGAATTTCTTTTTAAATACTTGAAAACACGATTACTCTGACAGTTTTTGTTGTTAATAGGAATTGTGTTTATTACATTCTCAATTATCTACGATCCATTAGAGGTGGAGGTCAACAGCACTCAGCATCAAAAATAAGATCCGGATTTTCAACTCCAATGTGAAGTCAGTGCCACTTACTATACGGATCAGAGACTTGCACTGCGCGTCATAAAGAGCATCTCAAACAAACTACAAACCTTCATTGACAGTTGTCTTCGCTCAATACTCAAGATCAGATGGCCTGCCAGAAAAGATCAGCAACAGGGATCTTTGAGAACGAACCAACCAGGAACCGATTGTGAAACGAATAGGCAGGAAGAAATGGAGATGGATTGGCCATACTCTGAGGAAACCATCAAGTGACATCACTAGACAAGCCATCGCTCGAGTGGAACCCGAAAGGGAAGCGGCGAGTTGGTCGTCCGTGCAAAGGTGACTTGGAGGAGGTCATGTGAATAGGAGATGAAAACGTGTGAGCAGACCTGGAGCCAGGTGAAGACTCTGGCAGAGAACCGAACGCAATGGAGACGCGGCTGAAGCCCTATGTTCCTGTGGGAATTAAAGGATACAACAATAATAATAATAATTAGATCAACTGACTTCGTCGACTAAGAGGTAATATGGAAATGCTTAGCCATGAAGTGGGTGCCGAGAAAGTGCATTGCACTAATCAAGGCATTCTGCTTGAACTCACTCAGCGACTTTAGGGATTGACTTGGTATTAGGGAATAGTTCTGTTGATGATATAGTTCTCCTAAGTGAAGACGCTTATCAAATACAGAGTCTTTTGAACACTTTGAGCAACAGTCTTCGAATGTTTGGCATATAATTTTCTCCTGTCAGATGTAAAATGATGCTATAAGACTGGACTACATTGACTCCTAGCTTGAATGGTGGAGCGTGTTGACCACTTCAGTTATTTGGGGATGATTGCTGTTGAAATTTCAGTATGGATACAAAAAGCTTGTTTGGCATCTCCTAACCTACATCATCTCTGGCTTAGATGTGATATCCGGCTAGCTATCCATCAAAGGATGTGTGTAATGCACCTCAGCAGTTCACGCTGTCCTTCTTTATGACTGAGAAACATGACCACTGAAAGTAGAAAACATGAAGAAGAGATCAGCTGTCTTTGATCGCAGGTATTTGCATTCTATTTCCCGTATTTTGTGGTATTATATGGTAAGTAATATAGAGGTTAAGCATAAAGTACTCGCGTCAAGAAAAGAAGGTTAATCGATGCGGTTTTTATAAAAATAAGTTAAATGCATATTTCATTGTTGTTCGCTATGTCTTCTTTTTCATCATCATTATTACTATTATTCCCTTGGGTTCCAAGTGGAACATAGGGCTTCAACAACATATCTCCACTTTCTTTTATTTTCTGCCGTCCTCTTCAGCTGGCTAGCCACACGACTGCCCATAATCTCTCATCTCCTCCATGTCACCCTCGCACCGGCGATCCACTCGTCGCTTCTCATTGGGATTCCAGTAGAGTGATGCTGCATTATGCGCGATGTCATTCGGCGGTCCCCTCAATGTATGCCCGATCCATCTCTATTTTCTCAGAAGATTTCCAAAGTGATTTCATGTTGATGAAGGTGTATCTTGTCTTTCCGACTCTGACATTGACATTTTCATCCGTTTCGCCTGTGATTGGAGCCGTTCTTCCTGGTCAGATAAGTGATGGAAGTAACCTCTTTCAAATTCTTCCCGTTAATGGTAATTGCTGCTGGTTGTTGTTGTTGCTGTTGGTCAGTTATCTTCATCACCTCCGTCTTCTCTATGTTCACCTGGAGTCCTGTCTTCTCTGCCTGCCACTTCAGCCAATTTGTTGGTTTTCGCCTGCAAGTCATCGAGTTTGTGTGACATTATAAACAAATCATCCACACGCGAAACCCAGATTTTCGAAAATCTTCTTCTCGGTCCAGAGTATTTCTTTCTTCTCACTCCCCACAGTCTGACGCCGTAATTAAGAGTATCGTCGGTGATATTAGGAAGGCAGCCTTGTCTTACTCCTGTATTTCCCTACAAAGGCTTCGCTGAGGTGCTTTCTTTTGCATAGAATTTATTCGACTAAATTATGAACTAATCCATTGCTCTTGTTGTTGTTGTTTTATTGCAGGCGTAAAGACTTGCGTGCTCAAGCACCTGACGACCTTCCAGTGAATATATTTAAACCACCCAAGTAAGTTTCTTAGTTTGTTTTGTTTTCTCTTTTCCATTATATTCTTACTCTTGAATGTACTACACTCATATATCGGGTCCTGTAAACGCACACGATAAAGATCGCAGAAGGTAATATTCTCGTGAAGTAAATCTCGATCAGTATTCACACATAATTAGTAGAAAGTTGTGTAAAATATGCCCAAGTTGTTTTAGGCTTTTAATGTAATCCATCATTGGTATTCAAACACAGATCTAATGCCTATTTGATGATAGCCCAACCTCATCGGCTGACTAACTCCCCCCCCTTATAGAGTGTTAGTTAAGGGCAGGTTAATCAATCGATGAAGTCCCACAACCCCTCCCCGCATCAATTAAGATGGCTAGGGCACATGTTTCGCATGCCTCTAGCCATCACCTACGCCTGACCTAGAATAATTAGGTTGGAAAAGTGTTAGAAGTGGCTAACATCAATCCATGAAGTCGTTGACAGGTGGTTTGAGCCACTCCCGTAGAACAGTATAGACTAGACACTTGCTGGTTGGCGTCGTCCTCGGGATATGCCTCAAAATCGTTCCCCGGTGGCGCAGATGTTCTCCCAAGAATGCTTTATTTAGTTGTTTGTTTTTGTTGTTGTTGTAGATGTACTAATAGTTGTTACGTTGATGTCTAGGGGAATTGACACCCTATCAGGTAAATGGCTTATGTTGATTTAAGATAGTCGTTGCTTTTTGTTGTTGTTGTTGTGAAGTCTGTTGAAATAACACTTTCAAGCCTAACATGTGTACTTATTTGTATATGAGACTTATGTGTTTGTGTGTGTGTGTGTGCATTTTTCACAGCATAACATCTATCCCAGTAGCAGTAGCAGTAGTATTAGTAATTGTGACAAAACCCAAATCTGATTTCATTGTGATATATATAAAGCAGTAAATATTGTCAACTTCTGTCTGTAATGGCTCCTTGTTTCAATTTTTTTGTTGTGAAGAGATTTTTAGATAGTGGTATCAGTAGTGGTAGTAGGAGTGTTAGTGAAACTCCCGTGTAACTCTACATTTCTTATATGCTGTGGAATCTGTGTTATTCACACTGTATCTCACCTCACCTATCTCATCTACTATTTTCATATATATATATATATATATATAAATTAAACATTTAACTTCCTAACACTGATATAATAATAATAATTTGTGTAATAGAATAGTAGGCGTAGAAATCAGATATGTGACAGTGCTTCTATGTGTTGTACATACAACACTCAGCTCTCTCTCTTTTTCGCTCGCTCGCTCTCTGAAGATCAATAATAGTGATAATGATGGAATAAATGGGACGGAGAAATAGAAAAACAAAACAAAAAAACAAATTTGATAAAATCATGTGGTTGGTTGGCTTTTATCGCATGCATGCATGTCATGTCACACACACATTATTGACGTGAAATTTGTGAAATTTACAGACTGACTACTACAACCACTAACTGTCATTTTTCAAAGTGTTCCTATAATACCACAAGAAATTGACACATTGGGTTGTGGCAGAGTGAATATTAAAACAAACAAGAAAAATCTCTTGTCTTTTCTTTTTCTTTTTGTCCCCTATCACATACAACATATCAAATGAACTGTCAAAGTATACTTTTTTTACTTCCTTGTCCAGAGTAAAGATTTCAGTTAGATATATGTAGGATACTAAAAAAGAAGAAGACAAAATTTCCCATGACTGAGTGTGTTTTTTTTTAGTTTCATGATAATATAGCCCTACTGCTGCCAACTGTTGTCATTGGCGATTTTTTTGTCCTCATCTACTCAACTAACTTGGTGGATCCCGTCGGTTATGACTTCCTACTAGAACAACTTCAGTCACAGTCACTCTAGTGTGAGCCATGGATCAATTTTCAAGGACTTTTTTTTCGCTGCCTTCAGAAGCTGGAATTGATAGGCTATTAAATTCTGGCCCAGTAACTTGCCTTGTAACCTGAAGATCCTAGGGTCCGAGCCCTAACGACTGGGGTCATGGATGTGAAGAATCCCAGACAAGGATGAAACAACTGTCCGATACTCCTTGATTTTCACTGGTTCTCCAACTGAAGTCCATCTTGAAAACAATCAAATCCCCACAGACAAACACTTGGAAAGAATTTCAACTCGGAACTAGTACAATTACAGATTTTGATCACGCACGAGCCCACATCAAGTAGAGAACCAGTGGGAAACCGGGGTGTATATTGGGCAGCTTTTTCGACCTAGTTTAGGACTCTTCAGCGGTGCACAACCACTGCCAGGGTTCGAACCTAGGACCTTCCGGTTACGAGGTGAGCTCGTAGACCATTCAGCCACTAGAACATCGATCCAGCAAGTCAGGTAAGAGAACAGTCACGCCTATGACGTCGGTTGGCGTTTACACTCATACATGGATTTCATGGGTCATTGAATCAGATCCTAAAGCCCGGTTTCCCATTGGTTCTGTAAGTGATATTAACTCGTGGTCAAACCTATAACCAATCAAATCCCTGCAAATTAATACTTGATAATTCAATGTAATTGTAATTTAATATGCGGGCACACACACGCACTTCGCATTTTATCATCTGCTTTGATCAATCACTCCGATTTTACTTTTGAAGTTTGAGTAGACTAGAAACATAAGCATACTAGTATAATAGTTTTATTTGGAGGGTGATAAGTGTTAGAAAACAAAGTCTGAGACAGTCTTATCATATACCATTGTACATTGACCTTTAGCATTGGCTTGATGTGTTAGAGTAGATTTTTTTAAATTTCATTTCATATTGATTTGTTTTCTTTTTTGGATATATTACACATAGTGGAACAGTATTACTTACTGGATGACGAAGTTTCGAACGCATGATCACAAAACTTTGAAACTTTGTTTGTTATAGTTAGTTGTTTATCTTCCTTTCTATTTGTCATAGAGGTAGTAGGATTTTCCAGATGTCCAAATGGACAACTGTTGAATCATTCCTACTGCCCGTATTTTCAATTGATTCGATAAATAAAGCTTCCGTTATCAATCTCTCCCTCCACTCTGTTATATTAGATCGTAAAGCTGTCATCTTATCCCATCGTATTGTGTGGTTGTGTGTGTGTGTGTGTGTGTGTGTGTGTGTACTGAGATATTTTCTAGACTTCTTATCTTATTCGAGTCAACTAATCTAGATTTTCCTAGGTTTTTGTACTCCACTAATCTAATTGACGCCGTCCTACTAATTTAGCCTATGTATGTATTTAACCTGACAATCACTGCAGAGTATTAGATAAATCAAATTATTGATTTTTTTCAAGTATTGGTTTGTAGGGATTTGATTGATTGGTTACGGGATTTCATCATGAGCTGACATCGGTTAAAGAACCATTGAAAAACAGCAGGGAGTACTGGACAGCTGTTTCGTCTTAGTTTGCGACTATCGAGCAGTACACACCCACCGGGGTTCCAACCCAAGACTTTCTGGTTACAAGGCGACAGCTTGTATACCATTCAGCCACTGGGACCCGATCCAATGGCCCATGAATCCCTCCAAACCAACACTTGAATATCCATCTGATGCTCACTAGCGACTAGCTTTATTCACACAGGTTCTAGTGGGAAGTTGTGACCAGTGGGATACAGCAGGTCGGGCGTAAGGACATATACTCGCCATGGATGACATTCACTAGTGGTCGCGCTACACCGTGAATTGACAGAAGTTGGATTTCATGAACCAGTCACTGGATGGGGTCCCAGTGGCTTAATGATCTAAGAGCTCGCCTTGCAACCGGAAGGTTCTGGATTCAAACCCCTGTGGGTGCGTACCGCTGAAGAGTCGTGAGCTACAGCGAAACAGCTCTTCAGTACTCCGGGATTATCCAATGGTTCTCTAACCAATGTCAGCTCATGATGAAATCCAGTAAACAATCAATTTATTTTGTTTAATGGACTCCACAGGATCCTCTAACTGACATAATTTGTTTCTTAGTGAGTTGAATGTCATCATTATTCCCTCTTTGTTAAGTATTCTACGTACAGTTTCAGCAGACGGGGTGGGGGTGGGTTCCTTCTTTGTATGGAAGCACTATTAGTTGTTTTAAGTTTTCTAGTATTGCTATCATCTTTCCGTGAATGCTTGTCATTTATGTCGTCCTTAAGATTTTATTTTTTTCCAATTTCACTCTTACAATTTCCTATATACTACCTGATTAATTCGTCGGGAGTAATTATTAAGTATCAAAGCTACTCTTGCTTCCTGTCTTACATTCTCTTTGCTACGGCTTAGTTATTTTTCCCTATTACATAGACATTTCACTAACCTTATTTCTTGGTGAAATAGAGGAGTGAGGTAGACCAAAATCTAAATGTCGGTTTGAATGTGTGGGCTTTTGCTGTAAACACACTAGTATTAATTTAAACTTCCAATCTCCTTCCGTTTTTATGATACAATTAAAACAGTGGAAGCTCCTTCTTCATGACTTTCCAAGTCATCGTAAACAGAAGGACTTTGAATAGTATAGTCTCTGTCGGAAATCAACAACAACTGAGGAATTGATGAATAGGGGATTTTTTTTCCTTGTACAACTGATTCATTTCATTAGCTGTGTGATCAAATATTAACTACCTAATGTGTAACCGAAACTGTACTTTTCAATTGTGTAATTGTGCTCTAACATGGCCTAAAAGGAGGTATGCTTATTTTATAAATTCTGTGAATTAATTTCCTATAGAAAACTGAAGTGAAACAACCATCTCCTCGTACTGTGTAAATTGTGGATTTAATTTATGACATCTACCATCGTTTAGCTCACGTGAGTAGTGGCTAACCAGAAATCCAGTGATTTGAACTGTGATCCAGCTATCTGAGCTATGTCAAACTCTGGATACACCGTTAATGAGCTCAACCACCGCCAAACGAGAGAAACTGCAGTCCCTTGGTGTTTAGATCACTTCGATAGCCTGACTGGCTGGCTAGCTAGCTAGCAAACACTATCGATCGATGTGAGTGATGGCAGTGGTGATGGTGGGGGGGGGGGGTATACAAAACAACTCATCACTAATTCGTACTAGGAATGTTTCATGTACAATATTCGTACTATCTGCTTTCTGTCAAGTTTCATCATCAGCTAAAGAATCTGTGGAACCAGTAGCACTACTCGTTTTCCTATTGCGACTTTTCTAACAGTACCCACCCTCTACCAGGGTTCGAACCCAGGATTTTCCGGCTAGAAAGTGAGCTTGTAGCACTGTGACTTGATCCAATGGCCTTTGAATTCCAACTTGTACAAACCCGCTCATGGAAATTAATCTGATGCTCACTAGTGACTGGGCTACAAGATGAGGTTGACTGGAGTTCTAGTGAACAGTCGTGACCAGTGTCGTCCATCTGGTCGGGCGTGAGGACAAATACTCACCCATGACATTGATTGGTGGTCGTGTTAAAATTAAATTAAAAATTGCTCTATGAGCTTGCCTTGTAACCAGCAGGTCATGGTTTCGAAACCCGATTGGTTGATACTGATGAAGAGTAGCAAACTGGGACGAAACGGTTCTCTAACTGATGTCATCTCGTGACTACACGCCATATAAAATAACTCTTAAAAAATTTCTTTTTTCTTTTTTACAGTCCTCAAACTTATGCCTGGGAAGGTGGTGTACTACTCTGTCAGAATTCAGAGTCATTTAATCAATTCTTAGTTACACGTAAAGAATACGAGGAACAAGGATCAAGTTATTGTGAGAAACGATTTCCTACTACTTGATGTGTATTACGTCATCATATCTGTCTCTCTGCATACTTCTGTACAGGATAAACCAAGAAGAACACCACATAAAATGAAAACATTTGTATATTGTTCATATATATATAAATATGTGTATACTTATTCAATTATTTATTGTGTCAATGTGTAAATATGCGTGTATGTAGTTTTTTATAATATATTTATTTATTTATATCATATGAAATACGTTGTGGTCTTTTCCGTTGCACAAAATTTTATCTAAAGGTTTTTTATTTGTTTTGAACAAAAAATTATGAAAAGCTAGGGGAAGAACAATAGGAGAACCTCCCCCCGCCACCCCGGGGGTGGGGCTCCTTCCAAGCTCACCTGTCTGAGAGTATCATTTGTTTAAGTAGAAAAAAGGGGGGGGCGGGAAATTAACAAAGTACAGAAAACAAAACAGTATCATGCAATAGGCATATACACACACGCACAAACACATAGGTATCTATCCACTTTCTTAATATTGGATTACGTAACACATGATGATGATGGCAGGTTGGCAGGCAAGCAGGAAGGATGGTTCGTAGAGGGATTCTCATTCTTTAAAATGTGAATATAAAAAAGGTGTACAAATCTTCAATTATAATACTTTTGTAATAATGAGACGAGGAGTATTCAGTCAACAAAAACAACAACAAAAAAGGTGTGGGGATTGATTTTGTCTGAAAGGTTAAGATAATAGTTAAGTATATAAACATTTATAAGGATACAAATTGAGTAAAAAGCTAAATGGATGGTTGTGTTTGTTTTTTTACACAATTCACAATAGAATAACTAATTAAAAATGTGATGTGATAGCTAGCCAGTCATTTAGGTATTAGTGTACACATCAATATATATCAGGCATTCTTCAAATATACACCGTATTTATACATATATATAAATATCTATCTAAAACCAACAATGATTTAATTATAATTTATATAAACAAATACAGAGGAGAGAAAAAATTGATGAAATAATCAGAGAATGAGGGAGGGAGGGAGGGAGTGAGTGAGTACAAAAAGGAAAAAACGCAGTCATTTTACATCCTAAATCATTATTATTATTATTCTCATTAAATATTATACCGTATCAGCGTACATATATAGAAAAAGGGGAAAAAAGTGTTCCCGAATGGCTATCTATTATTGAGCTGTAGCTAGCCAGCCAGCCAGCTAAGTGTGTAGCTGATAATTTCGATAGTGTCTTTTCTTGTTCTATGCATTTTTATAATAATAGTAGTAGTAATAATAATAATGTCTATATACAACATATGCATGCACACGTACGTACATGGTTTGGATCGCTTCGTATATATATATATATATATATATATATATATATGTATAAAGAGAAGTGTGTTAGTGTTGGGCCACTGCAGCCGCCTCCGCCGCGAAGACTCGCACAAAAATCGAAGAAGAACACACTTGATTTTTGCAGAGGAATAAGAAGAATAAAAAGTATGCTTACACATATTTGTATGTATGTATGTTTGTATATGCATATAGAAACAAATAAGAATACTCTGTACACAAATACACACACACACGAGCGCCATAGTGTTGAATAAAACAGCTTACACTGGTCAACTAACTGACTATCACTGAATATTTTCAACAAGAAGAACAAGGAAATTGAGGGAGGGCGGTGAAGGGGATCGCGGGTTATAAACCTCTCAATTCTTGTTCTCTCTCTCGCACATATACACTTAACTCTCATCACCTAGAAAGATGCTGTTGTAAGTCAACTTTTGTAAAGAAAAGGAGTATTGTTAATTAATTAATTATAAAAATAATAATTAAAAGAAAAGTAAATCATTGAATGACAAGGAGGTGTAAATGTAAAAAAAGAAAGTAATCTAAAGGAAATTGTATTGCACTTAAATGCATTAGTGACGATCATTATTATTATTACTATTAATCATTCCCCTTAACGTTTATCTTTTCTCACCACACACACATCTCCTCTCTCTGTTAAACATTAAATAAAGTTTCAGGGTTCAAATGATAAGCGCAATAGTAAAAATGTAATATGTAGTTACACTTTCATCCAATTTACAAATAAATAGTAAAGGAGTTAAAGACAGTCTAACTTGGTCGTCTCTTTCTTTCTCTCTCTCACTCTGCATAAAAGTTATCGGAAAGTGACAAAAACAAGGAGAAGATTCATCGTTGTTTGAAGGAACAGGGGGGGGGTGGGAAGGACGAAGGAGAAAGAAGCAAGGAATAGAAATAATAGAGAAGCAGTGAGGTAGTAGAAGTGGAGACGAAACTTATTATCAATCAAACAGTCACCATTCAATCAGCTGTAGGAATCTTTCCTATTTCAGCAAAAGTACGGCAGTAGTAGTAGGAGGAGTGGTTTCAAAACAGTAAATCTATAATTTCATAAGAAAAGAAGAAAAAAAATGAAATTTCACAGTATGCTGTGGGCTTGTGTACACATTATTTAAAAGGTGAAACAATATCGAGTTGTTGTGAATACTAATGATAAAATCAGAAGAAAAATCTTCCTGGTGTTGTAGTAATATGTTGAGCATTTCGATAAGTTTCAGCTAGATAAGCTGATTTTGGATCATGTCTTTCTGATGAATGTACAGTGTGTGACGACTGGTGTGGGACTACTGCTGTTAATTCTCTATTCTGATGATGATGAGATAAACTCTCCTCATCTAAATGGCCTGCTGCTGTAGTAGTGTTGTAGGGAGGACGATTACTTTGACCTAATAGATTTTGATAATGTGTATGTGCACTTGGAGGTGGTGGCGGCGGTGGCTGGGGTGGTGGTATTGATTGAGCTTGAGGGATTTGATGATGTTGACGATTTGTAGGCGTCACCTGAGCAGCTTGTTGTTGGTGTTGCTGTTGCTGTTGTTGATGATACTGATGGTAGGCATAGGCGGCTGCTAGACCAGATACTTCATGAATGGAATGAGCAAGCTGTTGACTTGCAGTAGCAGTGTTATTATTCACTTGAGCATGTTCTACCATCGACCTACTATTATTACCTAATGTGTTTTGCATAGTAGTAGAACCTTGACGAAGATGATGGGAAGGATAAAGGGAATAATTATCACGGAGACTTGTATTAGTAATAGTAGTAGGCGTGGTCGTCGTCGTAGTAGTAGTGATACTACGACCATCAGGATTGTGTTCTACATAGTTTGTATTTGTATTTGAACAGTACTCAGTAGTTGAGTTATTGTTGTTGTTATGCGATAATTGTTGTTCACTAACTAATCGATTGTTAGAAGATACTGATGATTGTGTAGTAGTAGTATTAGTAGTGTATTGATTATTCTCAAATGACTGATAACGATATTGATTTGAAGAGAATGGAAATCCAGTATACTGGTTGTTATTATTACTACTACGTTGTAAGGCATCGGTGTTGTCTCCTTGTTGTCCAGATGGAATAACAGGCAATCCATTAAAACCTTGTCCATCACATCGACCTATAATAAATAAAATAACAATTAAGAGATTTCTTGTTTTATTCATTATCTCTAAATGGTATAAATCATCATAACATACACAGTTGAATAATAAATACTCTCTCTGTATACAAGAACACTTTATCAATACTAATGTCAAATCAACTCCCTTATATATATGTATATGTATATATGACCAGAAAGGATAAACAATAGGGAAATATCGGAACAAACCTAATGCCTAACAAATATGCCATAGTAGAAAATGGAGATAAGTCGGATACACGCTGAGAAGACTGTTGATTGACGACACACGCCAGGGGTACTCTCCCGAGTGGAAGCCAAAACGGCGAGTTAGGTATCAAAGAGTAACATGGAGAAGATAAACGTTTAAGGAGCCAATTGGTTCTAGTTTGAGGCTCGTCGGCAGCGCGCACCCACTGCCGTGGTTCTAACCCAGGACCTTCCGGTTACAAGGCAAGCTAGCTGGCTTGTATACCATTCAGACACTGGGACCCGATTTAATGACCACTGCATGAATTCTAACTTCTACCAATTCGTGATATAGTGCGACCACCAACCGATGTCATCGATGGTTGGACCTCACTGGTCACAACTTCTCACTAGAACTCCAGGAAACTCCGTCCTGTAGCAAGTCACTAGCGAGCATCAGATTAATTTTCAGGAGTTGGTTTGTAAGGATTAGATTCGTTTTTACGAGTTTGACCACGGATTGATATCAGTTAGAGAACCATTGAAAGCCAGCATTGGAGTACTGCACAGCTGTTTCATCCTAAGATGAAAAATCAGAGTACTTCTATACGAAATGTAGATGCTTCTCTTCCTACTTCAACTAGAGAAACACCCTGAGAACAGTATTAAAACGCATTGTCCACACGATATTAAATAAGTGTATGCATACATTATATCCTCATTAAGAAATTTTTACGTCATAGATAAACAAAGTAAAGGTGTCACATTTAAGATTTTTGCCATACTGTCGAAGTTCTACTCTTCCTACACTGAAGGAATGCAGAAAGAATATCAGGTTGTGTAGTGTAAGTAAATACATACAGTAGTAGCTGAAATTCTTTTTAAGCCATAATATCACAGTTGGGAACAGTGAATGTTATCAACTCCAGAAAAAGATGTATGGCTGACAAGATTTTAACATAAAGCTCTGCAGAGAAGTGCCACCAGTTCAACTTGTCACACTCCCTCCATGTAGCAAGGTAAAGGTAGAAAGAACTATATAACTAAGCAGAAATGTACAGGAGAACGAAAGAATAGGTGTAACACGGAAAAACGTGACAGTTTAATAGATATATGAGAGATCACAGAGAGTGAATGCATCTTCGCCACTGAGAAAGATTTTGAGCCATACCATCAATAGTCTCTACAGTTATTGGTGATATGATTGTGAGCAATAAATTGTCCTCGAAACGTCATCAGTAAACATTACTGTATAACACTGTGAGACTTTATCAAAACAAAATTTACCCATAATGGAATTACACTCTACCACAGTGCACAAGTTTTATTCTTATATCAATGCGGCGGATACATTTTTCAACGTAGAATAACAGATTAGCAGTTATGGGGTGTCAAAATAAATAGTCGCATTTGTGTGACAAACGTGCTCTGGGCTGAAATCGATTACAAAATATTTCGGTGAAATGGGCGACATTGGTGGTGGTGATTATTCATAATAGATTCGTAGAGTGTGGGGCAGGAAAAATTCACAAGTCAGTTCAAGGTTATAGAAGGTGTCAGGTGAGTGAGTGGCTAGTACAAAGTGGTATGTATGAAGTGGAGGAGATAGTAAGACTGCAATGAGAGGTTCATAATGAAATAACCGATGTGTGAGAAGAAACAGGTGGAGGCATGTATTGAGAGAAGAGATAATATCACTAATAATAAGTCCGGATAACAGAAATGGGAAATTCGATAGTATGGAGAGAATGTTTGCATGAAGGGTATAAATTATGACGAATAATTATAATAATAATAATAATAATAATAATTGTAATGGTAAGCAAAGAAAATAAAACATAAAAATAAACCAAGAGGGTTAAGGGGAAGAAGCACTCTAGGTGAGAAGCAGAATCATTAATCCAAGTTTGCCCACGGTAGGAACAGCGTCTGGACGTGTTCTTTTCGGATACAAATTTCCGGTTTAGTCGATCTTATTGCAACAGCTTCAGCTATGTGTAGACGACATCAGCTAACTGTACTTGATAACGACTTCGGAATTCGGTACATAACCCTGAAAGGTGTGTTGGTGGTGATGCAATGTCCAGTATCGACCAAGTGTGACAAGATCGAGCTTTTTATGCACTTAATTCCCCCCTGCTGGACCAAGCTGATAAATGTTCTCGAACCCGTAGACGAACCTGGCTAATCGTGTGCCCTATATAACTTGGACCACAGGAACAGTTGAGATGGAATATGCATGAAGAAGAGCTAACGTTAGGTTAGACATCTTTGAGTTGCTGGATGAACATTGGACGGCTGCTGAAGGATAGGAAGAGATGTGCAGAGTAGACAGTTTTCTTTATCTTCCTGGTCAAACGCTGCGATAGAATCTCCCCAGGAGCATCTTTCCCTTAACCCTCTTGGTTTTTCTTTCTTTGCTTATTATTACAATTATTATTATTCGTCATAATTTATGCCCTTCATTCAAACATTCTCTCAATACTATCGAATTTTCTATTTATACTATCCGGACTTATTATTAGTGATATTATCTCTTTTCAAAATATATGCCTCACACATTCGTTATCTCATTATGAACCTCTGATTGCAGTCTTACTATCTCCTCCTCTTTGATGCATACCACTTTGTTCTAGCCACTCACTCACCTGACACCTTTTATAACCTTGAACTGACTTGTCAATTCTACGAATCTATTATGACTAATCACCACCATTGTCTACATAACTGCTAATCTGTTAATCTACATTAAAAAAATGTTTCTGCCGCATAACTAACTAGTCATTACTGTAACGACAATAAATATTATTATACTTTATAATTGTAAGAACCTGAAGAGAAATTATATAATATTGGTCAACTAAATCAAAATTTAGCACAATAAATCGATTCGCAAAGCAGATTCTAATCAGAATTTCAGGTCAAATGTGTTGTGTACAGCCAGATTTGTGTGTAAATCTGTTTAACCTTGTGCATGATGATAATGATAATGAGCAGGTTCAGTTTATCACTATCATTATTAGTATTAGTAGTAGTAGTAGTAGTAGTAGTAGGTAGTGTTTAAACCATATTCCAATTTGACCTAAAAGGGTTACTTTGAATAAACAATATTACATGTTTCCAATCGATCACTAGTAGTAGGAGGCTTTGTATTGTGATTATTAATGTTCACATTATCATCGTCATCATCATCATAACACTTCTGATGCAATGACAACAAAATTCATGTCTCCCTGGAAGACTCGAAAATTGACTTTGTGAAGAAGACATAACGTCTAAAAAGGGAAGAGACTTTTATTTACTTCAATACTGTAAAGCCCTACTACTGTGTAACGGCAGAAGACCAAGGGACTTGATATAGGAATGCATATTTCCAATTTGGTATCTTTATATAGTGAAATTATGTACACCTTATCTTCAACGTACCATTTGCACAGATCTTACGGGGTTGTGCTACTTCTCGCCTTCCTTCATATTGTGTGTGTGTTTCTTTGTGTTCCTTTCACGTCTCCAATGTATCTTCAAAACGCTGTATCATTTCCATTATCTGACGTCAAATGTATTTCCCTATTATTTGATATTTTTATGCAGATGAACATCTCCTTACCTATATATACTACTGATAAATCTTATCAGTAGCACACGCCACCTTTTTTGATTTGACACTAGTCAGTAACTAGTGTAATGTGTCTAGTCCTATCCTATCCTATCTAGCACGAAACTTAGGTCCAGCGCTTCCTGCCGATTGCCTCCAGCCGTTTAATAACAACATGTCTTCCGTTTAGGTGCTCAACCAATTCAACCATTATAGGTCACATATTACAACCCGGCTTCAGCTACCAAGGTTTAGGTGTCTAGTCGGTATCATCAGATGACACGGTAGATGTGGGTAATTACGAAGTACATATACATATATATAAAACTGAAATAAGATTAGGTCAGAAAAGAGTAGGAAGTTTTATCATTACCATCACAATTATTTCTCTTCTCTTCGGTTCCGAGTGAAACATAGGATTTCTAACAGAACATCTCTATTTTGCTTTGTTCTCTACAATCCTATTTAGCTGGTTCCACGATTCCTCCTGAGCTTTCATCTCCTCCTTTACACACGTCCTCCGTGTTACACTCGGGGATACCCAACTCGCTGCTTGCCATTCGTGTTCCACTCGAAGCCAAGGCCTGGTGTGTAATACCTACCACTCAGCGGTCTTCTCTGGGTGTATCCAATATAACTCCATTTCCTACAGCATACTTGTTGGGCAATAGGTTCTTGGTTGGATCGTTCCGTGTTGCTCATCCTTTCTGGCCATCCGATCTTCAGGCAGTTGTTGGACAAGAGTCTACAGTCTGTTGGGAATGTTTTTGGTGATGCAGGCGCCAGGTCTCTGACCCACATAGAAGAAATGATTTAACTTTTTTCTTAATTCTGATTGGAGCAGATTCCCAAACTGATTTCAGAGTGATGATGGTCTGCCTTCCCTTAGTGATCCTGGTTTGCTTTGACATCCTCATCCGGGACATCACCTGTAGTAGGAACGATGCTGCCTAGATAAGTGAAGGGAGTGATTTCCTTCAAATTTCTCCGTCGATGGTGGTTGGTGCTTGTCGCTGTTGGTTACGCATCTTCATCACCTCTTTCTTCTTTATATTCACCTAAAGTCCTGTCTTCGCTGTTTCTTCTGCCATCTTGTTGGTTTTCACCTGTAGATCTTCGAGTTTGTGAAATTAGACATACACTACCCGCAAAGTCCAGACCTTATAGAGTCTTCCTTTCGGCCTAGAGTATTCCTGCCTCTTCACTCCTCACAGTAGTCAAGCCCAAATACTGTACTGATTTGTGAAGTTTTTAACTGTTGCCATTAGTCATGTAGGGAGGTGTGGATTACTTTGACTGGTCATCAACAGGACATGTGTCCAGACCCTCCTGTGTTGGTGCAGACTTAATTCTATCAGTCAAATTTACAATGTGGAGGTCACTATGGTAAGTGGTGGTTCAACGTCACGTTGCACTCAGAGTTGTTGTTATTAGATGGTTGGAGGAAATTGGAAGCAAGCCCAGATAGCTGACCTAGGTTTCGGGCTTGTTGGCACTCACTCACCAGTCAGCAAGGTGTT